CTCTCTAGAATAATTATTAAATCTGTTAAACATCAAAAAAGAACAAGAGCCTGCATTTGGTTTCATGTTCTTGAAGTCCTTAATTTTTGATCACAAATTAAGCCCCACAGTTACAATGTACAAAGGGGGCCTGATAGTAGTGGGGTACGCATTGGACCCACTGCCATTCCTCCAGAGAGGAAGCTGAGGCTGTCTGCTCCGGTAAAGACGTACAGCCTTGGAAACCCGTAGGAGCAGGTCCACTCTGTCCTTTTGGGACATTGTAAGTTGAAATCAATTTACAGGCTGTGAGATGCCTTTTTGTTTTTGGGTTCTAATGAGCCCAGCAAACGATGTCTCGGGGTCCTGCATGAACTTGGAGGCAGGGTGAGTATGGGGACTATAGGGGAAGGGGGAGAGATAAGGGCTCAGGATGTTGGGGGTGGGGGGAGGCCAGATGGGCTGCCTCTCATGCTAAGGAGTTAGGACTTCACCTCCTAAGACAAACTCCGGGGTGTCCCTTGTGTTTACACAGCCCACCAGCTGAGAATGGCCTTCCTATTCCCTACACGGTTAACAAACAGAGGCGAGGAACGCTATTTTGTGACTCGGGTTTTGGGTTGAATGGCAGCGTTGAGCAGGTGGAACAGAGGGTTGGTGGACAGTGAAGTCTTTTTACCATGTGCCCCTTCACAGAGAGGGTCTGCTGCCCTCTGCCCTCTGCTCAAGGCCAGCGTTTCTAACAAGACAGATTCGATGGTCAGGCAGGCTGGGGGAATGCTAGTTGAACTTGACCTAAGCAAGTCTTTGAGGCGTGACCTTGGCACCCTCTGATATGTGCACTGTGAGTCTTCAGGAAGGAAAGGAAGCAGCCAACGAGAGCTTCCCACAGTTATTTTTGCACTGAAGCCTTCTTCCAAAGAAAAGCTATTGGCCAAAAAGTATTCCCCGAGTGTCGTTTGGCAAGCACTCCTTTGGGCATAGGGGCACTCTGCGGGCTTTCGGCAGGGGTTGATACATTAGAACTTGAGCCTGCTTTGCCTCCCGACCCCTTGTCCCTGAGGATACACACGGCAAGGATGCCCACGGCTCTGCCGGATGCTCCGAGGGCCGACACACCCGCTGGGGCCGACCTCGGGAAGCAGGGCAGGAGAGCTGGAGGACTGGACACCGGACAGGAGGTACAAAGGCCTGGCAACAGTGAGTCCAGGGAGGTAAGGGGCAACAGCACAATCATCAGCTGCTAAGCCAAAGGTTGGAAGGCCAAGGCCACTCAGACGCCTCTTAAGAAAGGCCTGGTGATCAGCCGCCGTCAACCTGATGGAGCAGTCCCACGCCGACATCCACGGGGTGCCGTGAATCGCCAAGGGCTCAAAACCCACTGGTTTGGTTTCTTGGTGGCGGGGATGGGAAAGGAGAATGCAGAATCCCTCGGTTCTGAGGAGGCCAGAGAGTGATGGTGAGGATTGGAGAGAAGTGGAGACTTCTCTGAGTCTGTGTGTATGTGTGTGTGCGCCTATGTGCTCAGGAACACTGCCACCTTCGGCCAGAATCGATTTGAACACAAAGCAATTATGCCTCCAGCCTTGGAGATGACCGATATCCACGCTGCTCTTCTTCCTCTTGTATTTCCCTAACCCCAGAAGTTGAGACCTGCATGAGCGAAGGAACTGGTCAGCCAGCTTTGCCACGGAGGAAGCGCCAGGCCCTGGGGCGGCAGGCGCTGTATGACATCTCGGATGCTGCGCAAAGAAGGCTGCCTTTCCTCCACGACTGGGCGGCTCTGCGGTGACGCAGGGTGCTCCGGAACCCGGGGCAGAGCGTCCAGGGCTGGAGAGCTGAACCAGGCCTCACCCTGGGCGGCGCTTGGTTCAGAGGGGCATGGGCTTTTAACGCCAGGATCTCTGAGTGCAGCCATGAAGCTCAGCCATGGGCAGAATGGAAAAGTGGAGCGAGACACACTTCCGAAAGGCCCAGGAAAGAGGGTCACAGATGGCCGGTGAGGTGCTGTGGCCACTTGAGGGCCAGGTGGCCTAAGAGGGGAGAGCGTGCAGTCACAGTGAGTGGGGGAACCCAGGCGACGAGGATGGCAGGGGTGGGGGCTGGAGGTTGGAAACCGCTGCCTCTAGCCACCTCCACACAAATGCCAACACCTGGCAAGCAGCCAGGCGCCGAGATCCCCATGCGGAGAGAAGACACGCTCCCTTCTCATGTTTCACACTTCTACTTCAACTTCAACATCACCTCCCGGATGACACCTTCCAGAGCCACCTGAGCTGAAGCTCTCGACCCCACTCCCTCACTGATCTGCGTCCTAACAGCCTCCAGAACTCTTCATTCGCTTTCAAATTTGATTTTCTATTAGCATTCCATCTCCCCTCCTGACATTGTACCGACTCTGATGGCTGGGCTTGGTCTTATTTGTCCATATATATGGTGGCCTAGAACAGTGACACCTCAGCAGGGGCTCAATAAATGTCTGACTGACTGGGCTATCAAACACACACAAGGTAAGGTGACCAGGCGTCCTGCTTTTGGCGGGACAGTCCCGATTTTTAACAATTTTTCCCACTTCCCGTGGCATTTTTAAAAAGTCCCGGTTTTTGGAAAGAATGCACGACAAGCTAGGGTATGGTTTTCGGCTGCCATGTGGCTAGTGTGCCAGGATATGAGTTTTATCAATGATGTCCCGCTTTTACAATATTAAAATCTGGTCACCTTACCACAGGAGACGTCTAGGAAATATGAGCTGTCTGGTCATAAACTCCATGGCCGTTCCACAGGGCCCTGCGGACACCAAGTACTGCTTCTCGGCCTTCTCCGTTCTCCAGGTGTGATGGGTTTGATGTCAGCTCACCTGGGTCAGGATTCCCTTATGATGCAATCTAACTCAGTGCGGTCAATTTGATGATGGGATCGTCTGTGAAGCAGGTAAGCACTTGCGGAAAGAATAGGGTGGCCTATGGCCTCCTTACTCTGGTTATAGGCCTGGCACAATTGAGGGAGATTGCCTTTGGGGCGTGGCCTCCTCTTAATATACTTTGGCACTGTGAAGACGTCAGCTCACTTCTCCTGCGGAGTCTGGGTCCTGCATCTCGTTTGGTTCACCTCCTGCCGACCCCAGGAGCCATCAAGTGGATTGCCAACCTTGGATTCATTCCGCCACCTGGGATTCATTCAGCTCTTGATTCCACCAGCCTGGGGCCCTCCTGCTTCCTCTTTCTGCATTCTGCTAAGCACCCCCCGCGGCTACAAAAGTCAGGAGAAGCTTCCAGCTTCCATCTGACCCATGGATTTGAATCCGACTGGAAAACCCACTTCCACAACGGTGTGAGCCATTTCTTGGTATAATCTCTTTATGTACACACACAAGGGCCATTGCTTTAGCTTCTCCAGAGAACTAGCCTGGGGTTCCACCTCTTCATCTCCATCAGTAACTCCAAAGCCCCAATCAGTCCGACAGGCAGATGAGCAGGCTGGGTGAGGGAGACCCGGTGAACCACAGATCGTATCCCAGGCTGAAAGGGGCCAAGGCTTCTCAGCTGCATAATAAAAAAACATGAATCTCGATGCTTCCACGAGATCTTGTACTCCATAAACTAAGAGGGGAAAAGTTACATGTCAAGCAAGCGGGATCCTCAACTGGCAGCTTATACCCTTTGGGGTCTGTCTGCAGACGATCGCCTCTCTGTGAATGAGAGCCGACCTTCTTCACCGACGATTACTGGTTGGGGCAGGGCCACTGCTAGAGTGGTTTTCCAGCTTTGTGAGTATGAAGCCCATGTCCAACCTGGCCTTGGCCACACACATCGACACCTGCAACAGTCTCCCCAAGCAACACGTAACCTGCACTGTTTCCTTCATCAGCTGCGCGCTTTGGTTATTTAAAAACTACTGGTTGTGATCCATTAAGTTGATGGTCATCCCACAAGTGGGCTATTTCCCTGCAGTTGGACACACTGTCCCAGGGTGCCCCGGAGGAGGGTAGCCTGCGAAGTCTTTGGCCTCTCTGTCCCCAGGCTCAGATTCTAGCCAGCAATTGTGTGACAGGACCAACAAGGCACATGCCACCCAGCTTCACATGTTCCCATGAGGCCGGGGAGGCACTGCCCACACCCTCGGGTGCATCCCGTCCAGTTTAAGTATGCCTGCTGAAATGAGCGGCTTTCTGGATTTTCACTTAAAAGCATTTACTTCCTGTCGATGCAGACCCTCTCCATGATGAAAAACCCTATCCAAAGGCCCTTTTCCTACCAAGTCATTTAAAAACAACAGCAGCCACAACCGTGGCCGCGCCGCATTCTTCACAAACACCCAGAACAAAACACGGGCCGAGGGCATTGGAGGCAGGGCTTTCCACAAAGTTCCCTACAGCCTCCGTGAAGGCAAACACCACGAGGAGGCCGGACGCCTGCTGGCCTGCCATCGGGAATCTGTGTAAACCCAGCTTTTGTGTGCCTGGTGAGGAAGCTGGCCACCCCAGGTTGGCAAGGGCATTGGGAGTTGGTGGGGGTTGGGGGACGCCTTACTGTCAGGAAGAGGAGGGTTCCGGTCAGGCAGCAGCGCCCCCTGCGAGGCAGCTCTGAACAAGCGCGCCCGGGCACTGCTAATTCTTCGCATCTTCGCGGGGTCCACTGGGGGTTTCGGGAAGGGAAGGCAGGTGTCCTCTGCAGTGGGGGATGCTGGAGCTTTGGGTTTCTGGAAAGAGATTTACCACACGGTTGGTAGGAGTTTCTGCGTGGGGAAGAAGCCTCACTGTCCTGGAGCTGGCCCTCCCACTGGCCACCCCTGGGCCTTCCCCCTGGCTTCCTTCTGGCCAGGACCACCTCACCTCATACGCAGGTCAATCCCACCTGGTCACTGTTTCTGTCAATGATATTAGGAGCCCTAGGGACCCTGTCCATGGGACCCCCAGTGGCACAGTGGGTGATGTGTTGGGCTGCAAGCCACAAGGTCGGCAGTGTAAAATCACCAGCGCTTCGCAGGAGAGAGAGAGGCTTTCTATGCCTGTAGGGCAGATCGGTAGATCGCATCAGAAACCCACAAGGGCAGTTCTCCTTTGTCCTGCAAGGTCGCTGTGAGTCAGAATTGACTGGATGGCAGGGAGTTTCAGTTTGATGGCGCTCTCTGGTAAGCGCTGGACTGGCAGTTCTCCTTTGTCCTGCAAGGTCGCTGTGAGTCAGAATTGACTGGATGGCAGGGAGTTTCAGTTTGATGGCGCTCTCTGGTAAGCGCTGGACTGCTAACAGCACGCACCGCCGGCAGTTCAAAACCACCAGCCACCCTGAAGGAAAAAGATGAGGCTGTCTGCTCACATCAAGATGTAGAACCTTGGAAATCCTCGGCGGGCTGCTATGAGTGGGAATCCACTCGATGGGGGCGAGGTGGGCTTTGGGATATTATGAGCAAATACTCTACCGCTCTGCTTGGAAGACACGGTGCACAGAGGTCACCTGAGCTGGAAAACTCCAAGGGGAAGAATAGCACGTTCAACATGCTTTGCAAATATTTGTATCCATTTCTGTTCAGAAATTATCCACTGGGCACCAAGCACCATGTAGGCTATCAATACTACTTTATATATTTTAGATTGCACATGGTATTTTTTAAAAGGGATAAAATATTTAAAATATCATTGAGGTACAAAAAATCACAAAGCACCGGCAAGGCGTCAGCTTGGTGTTAGCATATCCAAACACCTGATCTCCTGCATGACGAGAATGCTGTCCTGAGGCCCTTCACAAAAGGAAAAGAAAAGCACTGGCTGAGATCGGATTCTCCAAGAGAATATTAAAAGGTCCTGCACCAAGTTCGGTGCCCCGTGTGCTCCCTCAGGTCCCAGCCTGAGGTGGCGACAGCCTCTACCTTGGACCAAACCTCAGAGGTAGCTTGGTAGTCCTGCCCCTCCTGCCTCCAACTTCAGTGCCATCCATTGTCTCTGAAAGGGCAACCTCTGGCACCAGAGGCTTGTGATGCTATAACCAAAGTGTGAGGGTTAGGGACGATGTCAACTCGACACTCCTGGGTAAGCGGAGGGGTGTCAAGCAGGTCACAGTCTGATGATGCCTCCTGGGAGGTGTGGTCTTTCTATAAGAGAGGCCCTGGGGACCCCTCCTCTTTCTCCCTCTGCTCCCTCGCCTTCCTGCTTGCTGGGAATCTCTGTCTGCCTCCAGGAGCCACCCCACGTGGTTCCCCCGAATTTGAGAGCTGGCAGTGTCCTGCCATGTTTCCATTGGGCTCTGATCCACGCAACTCTGCACCCGCCGACCGGTGATCTGCATCCCGCCTCTCCATTCTGTATCACTGCCCTGCAGCTATGTGAGTCCGAAGAGGGTTACAATTAGCATCAGACCCATGGGGGCATAAAAGGCTGGGATGCCTTCTTAATATGAGATGACTTTTTGATATGAAGCTCTTTCTTATACATACATGCATGCCATTGGTTTCATTTCTCTAGACAACCCAGCATAACACATGCGTGTAAGCAAGGATACTTGGAAAGTAGTTGGCAAGAATCTACAGAAGGCAGAAAGATCACTTGCTGAGAAGTAATCCCGACCAGAGAACAAGGCAATTCCTAGAACGTTAGAAGGCTCTAGCTGGCCATGACGCTTAGGCCAGCCCAATAGGCCGTGACCACCTCCCGATAGCTCTTCTCAGGATTCCCAGACAGAAGACCATCTTATGAGAAGACAGGAAAAGGAAGTTGATGATACCCCACGTCTAAGGGAAATGTATTCAAGAATTCATCTGTATAGCAGCAGCAGAAGCCCATGCACACGCCTCACAATCGAAGGCCTCTTGGGAGCAAAAAGGCAAGTATTAAAAGTTCTCTTAAACATACGGCCTTTGAGATGTGGCAACTCTACGTACATTTCTAATGTCTAGGTTTTCCCTGCAGGTGCTCTGGGCAACACTGCCACTCTCAGGATGTGACAAACTGATGTCACGTGGCTATTCACGTTGGAGAGGGTGATATAAGTAAGGGAACAAGAACTGCTTTGGCACTCCCACTCGGCGTTTCTGTATTCTGGCGATATGCCTATCCGGGAGGCAAATGTGGGTTTCTAAGTCCCTTTCTCTTAAAATTACATTACATTTTGTTTCCCGTGCTGAAACTCGGTTCACATAAACGATAAAGAACAGCCCAAAGTCATCTGTATTGAGAAGTGAGACAACAGTGACCCCGGGGAACCGTGACAGGGAGAGATGAGGAAGACTTCTGGGGTGCTGGTAGTGAGCTGTGTGTTTTTTGAAGGTCTGTTTGTTGGTGTTGTTGCTAAGTGCTGCCAAGTTGGTTCCGACTCATAGCAACCCTACGTATGACAAAACCAAACCCTGACCCGTCCTGCACGGTCCTCACGCCCGTGGTTCTGCTTCAGTCCACTGCTGTCGACTCATGTCACGGAGAGTCTTCCTCCTTTTCAATGACGTCACCAACGCATGATGTCCTTTCGCAGGGACTGGTTTCTTCTGATACGATGGCCATGATGCGTGAGACAAACTCTCCCCGTCCTTGCGTTTAAGAGGCACCTGGCTGTTACCCCTGCCGAGCGGATGTGTTTGTTCTTGGGGAAGTCCATGGCACACATAATCACTCTTCTTCTCCAGCTCTAGAATCGAAGTTCATCCTTCGTCTTCACGCTCCCTCACGCGCTGTTCAACTTTCACATGCATGGGATGTGGCGGCTGAAAACAACCATGGCTTGCCTCAGACGCAGCTTGGTCTTCAAAGTGATATCTTTGTTCTTCAAGGTGTTAAAGAGGTCTCGTGCAGCCAATTTACGCAACCCAGTATGCAGTTTTGATATTTTTGACTGCTGCTTCCAGGAGCTTTGGGTGTGGATCCAATCAAGATGACATTCTCCACAACTTCAGCCTTTTCTCTGCTCCTCATGATGTTGTCTATTGGTCCAGTGTTGAAGATTTCTGAATTGCTTTACATGGAGTTGTAATCCACTCTGAGGGCTGCAAACCTTGATCCTCATCAGCAAGGGCTTCACGTCCTCCGGGGTGTCAGCAAGCAGGGCCCTGTCATCTGCATAATGAAAGTTGTTAACAAGCCTTTCTCTAATCCTGATGCTCTGTTCTTCTTCACAGAGTCAGCTTCTCTGAGTATCTGGTCAGCATACGGATTTAATAAGTACAGTGAAAGGCTACAACCTTGATGCGTACCTTTTTCTACTTTAAACCCAAAGTATCTCCCTATTCTGTTCAAATGATGCCTTTGCATAGTCAGTAAAACACAAGTAGACACTGGTTTATAGTCAACAAAACACAAGTATTTCTGGTTGTCTCTGCTTTCAGCCAAGATCCATGCGACACCAGCAATGATCTATCTCTTGTGTCACATCCTCTTCTGAATCCAGCTTGAATGTCTGATGGCTTCCTGTCAATGTACTACTGCAACCATTGTTGGATGGTTTTCAGCAAAATCTTACTTGCATGGGATATTAATGATATCCTATAGTTTGCACATTCTGCTGTTTGGTTAGCCAGGTGGCTGTCTTTCAAACGTCTAAAGATAAACAAGGTCAGCTTAGTTTGAACACATTTGTAAAACTGTATGTATTTTGATGATTGCATCGCTGTATTTTGTCAACCCAAAGCTTGCAGTAATAAGACACTGGGAGCTTAAATAACTGGGCTTTATCAGTTTAGTTAACAGAGGAGAGATTCCATTTCGACATCAAAATGAGGAATATGCTAGAGATACTATCATCAAGGGGTTCACCAGCAATGCAGCCTAAATAGATCCCCTAAACATTAAGTGGGGGTAGGTATCACCGATGGATTGACTGACCCATCAGTACACACCCGGGCTTAAGTAACAGCAGCCATATGAGCATTAGGCACAAAGGAGAACCTCTAATGTGTGACACAGAGACCAAAGCAAACACAGAAATGCAATGAAGTCCATAAAGGCAAAGAAAACTGAACTGAAAGAAATGAAAAACTCTCATTAAACCCACTGCCACTGAGTTGATTCCAGCCCTTAGCAACCCCACAGGACAGAGCAGAACTGCCGCATTTGAGCTTCTGAGGCTGTCAAACGTATGGGGGCCGAACGCTTCATCTTTCCCCCTCAGCAATGGCTGGAGGGTTTGAACTGCCAACCTGTGGTTAGCAGTCCAAGGCTCCTGAACTCTTATTAGTATGCTCAAGTAAGATGCTGCAGCCATGAAGCAAGACTAGGACACCTTACAAACAAAGATCACTTAAAGTGGAAAAAAAGGCATCAGAAATTTTAAAATGTGATAGTAGAAATGGGGGGGGGGAGGTTCAATAAAGGGATTAAGAGATAAAGTTTCTTCTTTAAAAAAAAAAAGGGAAACAAAATAAGAAATGGAAATTCTGGTCCAGGAGAAACTACATCTGAATAATAAATCCCAGAAAGAGCAAACAGAACAAATAAAGAAGGGAATAGTTGAAGGGGGAGAGATTCTACACGGAAAGAGCCCAGCACAACACATGACAGTGGAGCCACACAAAGCCTGCTGGTCGTGAGAATTCAAAGGGGAAATGCTACAAATCCCACAGGATGCCAGGAACCAAGGTCTCAAATACTGACTTCGGATGATGCACCTTTCTCAAGAAGCTGTTGGGAGGCCTGAGATCGTTTTTAAACCAAAATATCCCTGGAAGCCTTCTTGAGCCTAAACAATGGCTGGCTTAATTAATAACGAAGGTTTGCCCTGAGCATGTCCTTTTTCAAGAACTACCTCTGTAAGGTGACAGAGGAACCTCAGGGGGGCAGGGTCACGTCAATGCAGGAGGGATCCTTCGGAAACGGAGGTTGAGGAGAAGAGTTGCACAACATGAAGAATGTAATCGCTGTCACCGAATTGCGAGTGCAGAAATTGTTGAATTCGTTCATGTTTTGCTGTGCAGACTTTCAATAACAAGAAAAGGTAAAACAGATTGCTATTTTATGCTGTTAAAATATTGTAAATTTTATTTTAAATTACTCTAAACACAGACAGGAAATACTGGAGGAAGTGTCCCAATGAAACCAGAGTAAACCAAGGAAGAGGAGTTGGGACACGGGAAAGAAGAGAGGTTCCAAAGGACAGAGAGGGGCGCCAAAGAGGAGCTGTGCACCAGAAGGCCAGGCTGGGCGGTCCACATCCTATTTCTACATGGACTCCTCGACATCGTCTCCCTTTTACCCCACCTCACCACTGTACCCCCTGGGACCCCTTATTCTACTTGCTGTCCCTCTAGGTTTTGGGGTTTTAAGGCTGTAAGTCTTCAGAGACGCAGACAGCCTCACATCCCTCCCCTGTAGCGGGTGGTGGGTTTAAACTGCCAACCTTGTGGTTCACAGTCTAGTGCTGAGACCACAGCACCAGCAGGGCTCCTTCCTTGCAATCATCATCGATCATCACTTCAAGGCTCAGCTGTGAACAGGGCGCACAGAATCATAGCGGAGGAAACACTGTGGGCACCGAAAAGGTGAAGGTGAGGTGGAGATCGGAGGCCAGCAGAGCCCTTTATACAGCTTCATCTTCCTTGGCGGGAAGTCATTCAATACGTTCTAAAGCTCACAAGTCAGACAGCAGCAGGACCATGTGTCATTTAGGAGTTTGGATGGAAATACAGGGGGGTGGGGGACGGTTCAAGGTGGGAGCTACTGGGGAGGGGAGAACAAAGCCAAGAGGACAGGATGCTGCTGGAGTCTGTTACAACAAATCACGTTGTAGAAACGGCTGTGGAAAATACTGAAGACTGCACGTGATCACATGCAGAACCCTGTCTGTTCAGTTGTTAAATAAACGGCACGTGAACTGTCCAAAATAATGGACATGTGTCTCCAAAGCCAAAGCACACTCAGGGCCATCGAGTCAATGCTGACTCACAGCGACCCCCTGTGGGCTTCTGAGACATAACTGCTTACAGGAGTAGGAAGCCCAATCTTTCCCCC